GAATTAGGATACAAATAAAATTCACATATTACTACACATGGTGGTTGTTATGTCTCTTAGAAGTCTATTTGAATCAATAGGTTTCTTTTACTATCTTACTTACGACTTACTTCTTGATGAAACCAGGTTGTTTGTCCTATACATTTTTCCAGGCTGGGTTCTGCTGAGTTTGTAGTTTGATTTGGGTTTGCAAAATAATGGTATTCTAATTATGTCATTTCTCTTCATTCATGTCTATAAAAAGAAACCTCCTCATCTGTTAGTGGTACAGATTATAAGGAAAGAGGGTAAGTGCTTTATTATTTTATTTTATGTAAAGTTTTAAAATAACGAGTTTTACAGTAAACTATTAGGAAGAGAAATTAAGGAAACAATGCCACTCCCAACTGCATCAAAAAGAACAAAATACCAAGGAATAAATTAAAGCAAAAAGGTGAAAGAACTATACTCTGAAAACTACAGAACATTGATAAAAGAAATTGAAGATGACACAAATAAATGGAAAGATACACTATGCTCATGGGATGAAATGGAATAATTAATACTGCTAAGATGTCCATGGTGCTCAAAGCAACCTAGAGAGTCAATGCAAACCCTATCAAAATACCAATGGCATTTTTCACAGAACTAGCACACATGATCCTAAAATTTGTGTGGAACCAAAAAATATCCTGAATAGCTAAAGCAATCTTGAAAAAGAAGAACAAAGCTGGAGTTACCATGTTCCCTGATTTCAAACTATATTACAAAGCTACAGTAATCAAAACATTGTGGTACTTGCATGAAACCAGACACACAGATCAATGGAACAAAACAGAGTCTAGAAATAAACCTCATACTTATGTGGTCAATTAATCTTCAATTGGACATCTAAAATACAAAAGAATGAAACTTTCTTATACCATATAAAAAAATAAACTCAAAGTGGATTAAATACTTAAATGTAAGACTAGAAATCATAAAAATCCTAGAAAACATAGATAGTAGGCTCTTAGACATTAGTCTTAGAAATATATTTTTGATCTATCTCCCTAGGCAAACACAACAAAATAAAAAATAAACAAGTGAGACTACATCAAACTAAAAAAGCTTTTGCACAGAGAAGGAAACCAATATAACAAAAAGCTACCAACTGAATGGGAGAAGATATGGGCAAATAATATATCTATTAAGGAGTTAATATCCAAAATATGTAAAGAACTCACGTAACTCAATAAAAAAAAAAAAGGGCAGATGTCCTAAATAGACATTTCTCCAAAGAAGACATACAAATGGTCAACAGACATATAAAAAGATGTTCAACATCTCTCATCATTGGGGAAATGCACATCAAAACCACAATGAGATATCATCTTATACCTGCCAGAATGGCTAGTACCAAAAAAAAAAAAAAAAAAAAAAAAAAGCCAACCCAAAACAAAAACCCAAGAAACAGCAAGTGTTAGCAAGAATGTGGAATAGAAAGAGCACTAGTGCACTGTTGGTGGGAACAAAACAATGCAGCCACTATGGAAAAAGTATGGAGGTTCTTCAAAAAATTAAAAATAGAAATGTCATACGATCCAGCAAACCACTTTGAGGCACTTACTGAAAGAAAATGAAAACACTGATTTGAAAACATATATGCACCTTTATGCTCAGTGCAGCATTATTTACAATAACCAAGTATGGAAGCAAACTTAGTGTCCATCAATACATGAATGGATTAAGATGTGGTGTATATACACAACAGAATATTACTCACCAATGAAGTCTTGCCATTTCCAATAAAATGGATGCACCTAGACATTATTATGCTAAGTGAAATAAATCAAAGAAAGATAAATATATGATTTCACTTATACATGGAATCTAAAAAAGCAAACAAAACAAAATGGAAATAGATACAGAGAACAATCTAGAGGTTGCTGGGAGAATGGGTTTTAGGGACAAAATAGAGGAAGGAGATTAAAAGGTACACACTTCCAGTTATAAAATAAAATAAATAATAAGACATGGAGATACAATGTACAGGATAGGGAATATGGTTAATAATATGTAATAATTTTGTATGGGGACCAATGGTAGCTAAACTATGGTGATGACTTCATAATGTATATAAATGCTGAATTACTATGTTGTACACCTATGTTTGTATACTTCATGTTTGTACACACTATGTTTGTACACTAATATAATATTGTATGTCAACTATACTTCAGTTAAAAAAATAATGAATTGTTATCATCTTCCAATATTGGGTAATTAGGGATTCTTTTGATATTGTTTTGGTTTTGGTATTATTATGAATGCTTCCCTCTGCTTACTCTTGCATAGTATTATGTAGGTCTTGTGGCATTTGGCCGTTTGTCTTCAGCCACTTTGTTTGGAGTTTGTGGGTATAACCTGTCATGTAGTCTTGTAACCAGTCTCCAAAATGGCCTCACATTTCCTGTGTTTCCTGTATTCATTCTGATCCTCACATCAATAGGCGGAGACTTTTTTTTCTCCTTCTGAGTCTGGGATGGCCCTGTGACTGATCTGAACATAGAATGTAGACAGTAACATTTGGGGCAGTTCTTGGACACCAGCCAACACGTGAGAAGGCCAAGCCACAAAAAGAGGCCATATAGGGGCGCCTGGGTGGCTCAGTTGTTAGGGGTCTGCCTTTGGCTCAGGTCATGATCCCAGAGTTCTGGGACTGAGCCCAAGCCTTCTTCTCCCTCTCCCACTGCCCCCGCTTGTGTTCCCTCTCTGATTGTCTCCCTCTGTCAAATACGTAAATTAAAAAAAAAAAAAAAGAGGCCACAGTACTGAAGTTTTCAGAATAACAGTATCAGCTGAACTCCTAGACAACAACCACATAAGAGAGCTATCTTGAATATTCTATTCCAATTAAGTCCCCAGATTACTGCAGCCCCAACAACCATCATAAAATGGTTGTTTTTTTAAGACACAAAGTATAGGAATGGTTTTTAACAGAACAGTGGGTAACTACAACATTTATATTTGCTGTAAATGTTCATTGTTTTTTGTTGTATTATCTAGTTGCACTATTTTTAAAAAAGATTTATTTACTTGAGAGAGAGAGAGAGCACAGTTCATGTGCTATAGCAGGGGGAGGGACAAAAAGAGAGAGAGAGAGACAGAGAGTCTCAAGCAGACTACCCCATGTGGGCTCCACCTCAGGACCCTAAGATCATGACCTGAGCTGAAATCAAGAGTTGGATGCTTAAACGACTGAGACACCCAGGCACACCAAGTTGCACTATTTTTATGAAGGGATTTAGAGAGATTCTAAAATAATGTCCTGTAACATCCCCCACTAAAATCTTCCCAGAATCCACTCTGACATAAGATTAAAAGATTCTTTATGATAGACCTTTCAGTCAAGACCTATAAAACCACCTGGCAGTGTAATCAAGAACCAGAGCAGAATATTGGGAATTTCTAGTTTCCTCATATGAACTCTGGTCTTCTAATCAAGCTTACATAAAAGTAGATTCCTTTCTTCTCATATTTTGCCCCTTCCCACCTCATTGAAGTTCACACTGAATAAGTTAAAAATCCATATATTTGATATTTGTTTTCTGGATGAAACTGGATATCCCAATCTTCTGGAACCAGGTTGGTAGGAGTATCAGTTAAGAATTCCAACAATTATTAACACGTTCAGAAAAATTAGAGTGAGTCATACAGGTTCTGCAAAAACGAATAAATTGGCCCATTTTGAAAAACCATTCTATTCAGTCATTCATAAAAGTATTTACTGAGTGCTTTTCATGACCCAGAAGATGGGGTACCAGGGCCCTGGGTATACACTAGTAAACAAAGCAAACATCCCCATTCTTGAGGAAGTTAAGTTCTGGTAACATATTCTTTTTTTCTTTCTTTCTTTTTATTTTTTTATTTTTTCAGAGTGGGAAGGGGTGAAGGGAGAGGGAGAGAGAGAGAATCTTCAGCATGGTTCCATGCTCAGTGTGGAGCCCAACAGGGGGCTTGATTTCATGACCCTGAGATCATGATCTGAGCCAAAATCAAGAGTTGGATACTTAACCAACTGAGCCACCCAATGCCCCTGGTAACATATTAGTGGCCATTCTATTGTTACTTGAGCAAGCTCCTTGGAAGGTGCCAACTCACTTCCAGCTCCCTACAACAATCTTCAGTACACACCCTGAAGAGCCCTGGTAAATACTATTTTATCTGTTTCATTACATTTTCAGTGATGGCAGAGAGTTTCTTGGAAATTGGTTTCTCTGTATGTCACCCAACTAGGCTTTCCCATAAACCAATTCTGATTTCAAAGAGAAGAGTTAAATCAAATCATGGCAAGCAGTTGGAGGAATAATGAAGTGTTAGATTTAAATTATTTTTGGTTAAAAACAAAAGTAGCTTGGGGTGTTGCTTTAATATTTCTAATCACCACAGAATTCTGTAATGCTTCACTAGGTCACTAAGAATTTTGGACCTTTTTGTGTACTTGGGGGGTAGGGAGATGAGAGGTAAAGTAGAGAAGTAGTAGTAGTTGTTAAAAGATGAGAAGGGAAAGGATAAATGCTCATATTCTCAACACCAACAATTTAGGCAAATCTAGTATTTTAGGAAGTTCTTCATGTACAACCTGGAAATGTACATTAACAGGAAACTTGCTACCCACTCCTTGACTCTCCTTTTCCCATCCATGTGTCTGCTGGGATCTATCAGTGGGTGGGGTGGAAGACACTGTCATTGTTTATAATGCTCATAAGCCTGCATGGATGTGAATGACATATATTTAGAAATCAAAATAAAGCTTTAGGAAGATCTTCAATTTAATGGAAACTAGTCTAGTCATTTGAGAACCACAAGAGCTTTTTAGGGAAAATCTGCCTCTGCAAGTTGGAGGAAGTGTGGGTGTATTGGAGTCCCGGTGACACCTTGTGATGTCAGTCACCCGCAGCCTGAGGTTGATTGGCTATGAAGAGCTGAGGTAGAGTTTAAATTCTTGCACCATCAGAGAAGTGAACAGCAGAACATCAACACAAGAGTGGCTTCATTGGGCATAAATTCCCTCTTTGAGAACTTCAGCCTCATTGTTAAGACTTTTGGGGAAAAATCTTTGTGAACTAAAAAGGGTAAGAAATTTTCTTTTTTATGAAAATTTTTTAAAATTACTTCTGCTATGTTTGGAAAATATTAAATGTGTGCAAATGTTGAAGGGCATTATGCCACCCAGAGAAAGATGGAGAGAGCTGAGCCTTGGGTTAAAATGATTTCCATTTTTGTGCCTGTTGTTATGGCACAGCAAATAATGATATGAAAATGACATATTAAGTCAACAGAGCCAGATGTTTTTCTCTGTACTACTTTAATTAGATCTCTGCACAGTAGTTCTAAAAGGGAAAGTTTACTGAACAGGAGGCAAATGGAAAGTAATTTTGAAGGTTAGCTTTAATTACCAAAACAAATAAAACTTTTACATTTAGGTTTCGTGGATATAGTGATGTTCATGGCCTACAAAACATTATGAAAGAATTTAAACTAGACTGGCAGGACTTCCAAAATATGGTCTTTCAAATTAAAAACGGTTATGCTATTTATCTAGGTAGTATCCAATAATATTATGAACTGAGTAACTAAAAGAAGATGCTAAGACCACTGAAATAAACCAAGGATGGATAATTACAGTGCTTTTGTATTGGTTATGTAGGTATTGTTGTTAGCATGATGACTTGTAAAGAGAATTCAATAAAATGTTGAATATAACTGTCTTTTTTTTTAAAAATATAACTGTCTTTTAAAAACACTTTCCAGGGGCGCCTGGGTGGCTCAGTGGGTTAAGCCGCTGCCTTTGGCTCAGGTCATGATCCCAGGTCCTGGGTTCGAGCCCCGCATCGGGCTTTCTGCTCAGCAGGGAGCCTGCTTCCTCCTCTCTCTCTGCCTGCCTCTCTGCCTACTTGTGATTTCTCTCTGTCAAATAAATAAATAAAATCTTAAAAAAAAAAAAAAACAAAACCAAAAAACACTTTCCAGTGTAGAAGGCTTAAGAATATATATATTCCAATCCTTATTTTTATTTGCTGCATTTATTTCACTTCATCTGTATCATAAGTGTCTGTCTTCCATAACAGAAAATGGGAATTGTGGTCGTGTAATGCACTCTCTATGACATCTAGAAAATCCCAAGTGTAATAGCAATACTAGAAGCAACCAGTCTTCTTTAGGAGCAGTAACTTCTAGTGAACCATACTCTCCGTGCACCTGAGGGTCAAATAGACTATCCTATTTTGATGTAGTTGGTTAAAATGTGTGAACAAACAATATTCTAAAGGCATCAGTCCACTTAGCTATGCCAAAATGGTAATGTGGACCAATGTGCCTCAGATGCTTAGAGGCCTTCCAAATCTGTTTAATTTTAGGGCATCTTGGACTTATTTTACTATGGTTTAAGGCATATGATGTGGGATCGATTATAACTGACTTAAGACAATTACAGTTGGAAGGACTGGATATTTTTATTGCATTATTTGTTTGGTGTTCTGAATTCCTGATAGAATTCATATCCTGGTCAAATTCTATTTTATTTTTAAAGAGTAGTAATGAAACAAGTTGTAGCTAATGGAGATTCTGGTTAGTTGGATTTGGATAACTTTACTTTTGTAGGACCAGCTAATTACATACTACCATATTGTTATTACAGTTATTACTGTATCATTATTACATACTACTGCATACTCAGCACCTAGAACAGTGCCTGGTTCATAGGATATTCCTTTTTTTTTAAAATATTTTATTTATTTATTTGACAGACAGAGATCACAAGTAGGCAGAGAGGCAGGCAGAGAGGAGGAAGCAGGCTCCCTGCTGAGCAGAGAACCTGATGCGGGGACCCTGCAATCATGACCTGAGCGGAAGGCAGAGGCTTTAACCTGCTGAGCCGCCCAAGTGCCCCTCATAGGATATTCTTAAAAAGTATTTGTTGACTGCTAATGGATGGATGTATTGTTCATTGTACTACTGAAGATTAACAACACTAAGTCAAAAATAAGCACATCAAACATAATAAATTGAGCCTATGATTTTTCAATCCTTTATTTCCTTCTTTTGGCTTATTGCTTTCATTTCAGTTTACATAAAAGAAGATATATACTTCACAGTGAATCTTAACTTGGAGGAAGTTTCAGAACAAATTTCCCTTCTTGGAAGCACAGAGAATTTCTGGTTATACTTGAGAGTATCCAGAGAGAGAGACTGAAGTTCCCTATTCCCGATCTTAAACATTTTGAGTGTTTTCAACTCTGGGGAAAAAATGAGAAAGTTTGAAAATCTTTTATATCCACTGCCCTTCAAGCCGGTGGAACACAAGTTGAGGTTATTGATTTTTTTTGTCACATGCTTTCACTGTAGAATGATAGCATATACAATGTAGAAATGATATTTACCAATCACCAAAAAAGAACTTGGGATTCTGGACTCATCTCTTTCAAGAGGGCTTGTAGCTATTTTGCCAAATAATTACTCAAAATAGGGCTAACACATACCTGCTTCTGCCCTTTATAGAATGGTAGCTGAAAAGTGTATAAACTTTGGCAGCTCTCATTTGGAATATACTTCACAAAAGCATAATTATTCTTATAAAAATACTAATTGAAAGCCTAATATAGGGTTTAAGATCTGACTTCCTTTAATGCTTAATGGCAGACTATATTCTATGAGAGGCACCTTCCGCTCTCAGGACTTCTGGGTGCATTTTATTTTAGTTTGGGAAATTACTGTTGTAGGTCAGGGTGCTAAATGGTACTTGGAGAAGCACAAGGAAGTTATTGCATCTCTCTTGTGTTTCATAACATTCCAACCCTAAGAAACATGAATGCTGGAAGCACACACTTTGTAAAAAGTCAAACATTCATTAGTGTAGTGTATCACCTAATTTTTTTTTTTTAAAGAGAAGCAAAACAAATAAAACAAAACAAAACAAAAAAACGAGAACTCAGTATTTACTGGCCTTATATCAAGTCTGGAATATTGCTAGCTTTCAGAACATCATAAGATTATCACCCTATTAAAATTTCAGTTTGAAAATTAAAATGGTGAATAGCCTAATTTTCATTTGACTTGTGACGCCAAAACCACTTGGCATGCAGTTGAGAGTATCATATTTAGGGGAAACTTTCCTTTGCTTAAAAAATGAACCTAAGAACTTAAAAAAACAAAATGTTTTGGTTGTGGGAGCTAAGGGGAAATAGAGAAGAGGAAAAATTTTCCTCTACTCTCGTAGGGTCTTCACTGGGCTAAGACTTAAACTGACCTAAGTGAGATTAACATGAGAAAAGCACGTCAGTTTTACTGAAATTTTTACATGTATATGGTAGCCCTCATAAGAGAATGAAGACCTGAAGGAGTGACCAGAGCAGAAAGCTTTTCTACCTTTTATTTTTTTAACTTATTTTTATTTGTAAAAGATTTCTATTGATTTGTCAGAGAGAGAGAGAGAGAGAGAGAGACAGAGAGAAGCAGGGAGAACTGTAGGCAGAGGGAGAAGCAGGCTCCCCACTGAGCAAGAGCCGGATGCTGGACTCTATCCAGGACTTTGAGATCATGACCTGAGCTGAAGGCAGACACATAACTGACTGAGCCACCCAGGCATCCCACTTTTCTAACTTTTAGATAAAGAAACAATACTTATGTGATGAACTGACAAGACAAAAGTGTTTGGGCTGGAGCAGTAAATTGTAGGGAAGTGATTGGGAAGATAGGAGTAGTTTAACAAGGTTTGTTTGTACAGACTTTTCTCAGCCCTGAGCTCTCTTCTCTGAGGATGAGTACATCTTCCCTCTGGGTACAGGGAAGCCACCTTTCACATGGGAGTTTCCTGCTTTCAGGAAGAAAAAGGAGGATCACAGCATCTTTCTTACATCTGCTGTTTCTCATAAAAATAATTTTTATGTCAAAGAGGCATAATTTGGGGATATAAGATATTCTGGTTTCTTTCAGAAGTAATATCTTTTAAAGTCAGGCTTTTTTAGATGCAGTTGAGCATTTTCATGTTTTCTCTATTAATATTAGGCAGAAGATTTGAAAAAGAAACAAAAATATCAAAATACACGGACTAATATGAATGATGCTGAATCAGAATAAAGAAAATAATACAAATGAAGAATAACTATGTTGAAGTGGGATAACATTCATACATAAAATGAGAATATCTATTGGGCTATTTGACCTGTATGAAAGTAGAAATGAGGAACATTCTCAGTCTTCTTAGGATTTCTACTATTTTCTTGAATAAATTTAAAAACAGATTAAATGATTTCTGGAGACGTGTTACAGGCGCTGTTTAGTATATTCAGACATTAGTGAGCAATGTATTCTTATTTTCTAGATCAGAGGTTAAAATTATTTGCAGCACCTTAAAAACAAAAGTGAAGTCTGAAATAAACTTGCAGGATTTTTCACAAAATGTCTGGCAGTCCATCTGACAAATTGGTTAGGGCAGCTACAGGGCTTACAAGTGCAGGGCAAATTATTTTCCCTTTAAGTCATTTCAGTAACTTTTTGTATTAGCATGTAGTACACCTATTTTTAGATATAGAACAGGCTGTTTCCCAAATCACCAGTTCTTGAAGTGTGAAATGAAGCCACCATCCAGGAAAATACAGTTCGATTTGATATGTTTCACTCAGCGTGATTCACAAGAATATTCCAAACCTCTCAACTTCCCGAGATCCTTCAGTAATATGATTGACATTTTAAAGAATTTAGCACAATCTATGTTTCAGGTATGATCAATCGTAGCACAGCAGATATTAAGAGTTTTCCGGAGTTGTAATATGAAGGCTGCCAAGTACACTTCTTCAGATCAAGGAAAAAAGTGCAAAACCAACCTATTTTGTCTAAATATTATTACGAAGTTATAAATGTGACTGAGAAGCAATTTGTGTGTGTGTGTGTGTGTGTGTGTGTGTGTGTGTGTAGACAAATGTAGATGACCCATCAATGGTATCCCTAAATTTCGTGTTATGTGTATATTTGACAGGTTGCTATACCACACTAAGGTGCATAATTATCATAAAAGTGATTGGTCAGAAATCTCTCTATTCCTCTTTCTTTACTTGCTCCTCCATTTATCAAATTTTATGGGTTAGGAAAGTGTTTATAGACCTCTCCATTGAAATATTTTCAATTTATCTCTTCGAAGTAAGGTTTCTTTTTAACCTGTTTATTGAGATATAGTTCAATATATACTTACACACTTGAAGTTCAATAATTTTTAGCCATTGCACAGAATTGTGCAACCTTCACTGAAATCAAATTTGGAAAACTTTCCTCACCTCCAAAAATTCACTCCTTAACTGTCTCAAACTCCCATCTCTTCCAGCCCTGGGCAAGCACTGACCTACTTTCTGTCTCTATAGATTTGCCTATTTTGGACAATTTATATAAATGGAATCATACAGTATGTGGTCTTTTGTGTCTGGCTTCTTTCCCTCAGTATAATGTTTTCGAGGTTCCTCTACTCTGTAGCATGTATCAGTACTTCATTCCTTTTTATGGCTGAATAATATTCCACTGTGTGAATATAGTACCTTTTATTTTTTCATCAGCTGACAGACATTTGGACAAGTTGTGTTTTTTAATAGGAAGAAACTGTTAAAAAATTAAAACTTCTATATTTCTTTAGCATAAAGAAAATATCTTCTGTCCTTCATCACAGGTAGAGGTGTCACACCCAGCTATGAAGACCAGTATCCTGCTTATGTTACTTTGGGGATTGTCCTGTGCTCTTCCAGTCCCGGTAAGTATCAGGGTAGGGATATATGAAATAAACCTTTTATACCTAAAATTCCACAATGTTCATTGGCTATAAGCAAGGTGGCTGTATGTCTTCCAGTCATGAAAACAGTAGTTTCTTAGGAAGCTGTTTTCTTTAAAATATTATCTGAGTTAGTCCTTATTCTGTTGAGTCATATAGCTATGATTCTCATTTTTCTTCATTATCAGTGGTTCTCAAAGTGCTGTCCCCCAACCAACAGCATCAGCATCAACTAGGATTTTGTTAGAAATAAAAATTCTTGGATCCTACCTCAGACCTACTGAGCCAGACTCTCTAGGGATGGGGCAATCTGTGGTTTAAAAGGCCTCCAGCTGATTCTGATTCATACAAAATTTGACTATTACCCCCTACATATGCAAAGTGTTAATAGCTACTGCCTTGGAAAAGTTTCTGTGGGTTAACCATGTGCACTAAATTTTCTAGGTAGCCAGGTATCAAAATACTGAATCTGAGAGCTCTGAAGAATGGAAGGTGAGTAGAAATAAGGTTTTTAAAAATATTATTAATTTAATATATTATTAAATATATTGGCTCCACCACAGATGTTGAAACTGTTAATGATTTAAGGAACACCTTAATAACCTAAGGTATAGGTAGTAAGAGCTATAATTTCTAGTTCATGTGAAAAAATTTAGTTCATATAATGTTTCAACTTCAACTTAGTAGTATAATTCAGTGAGGAGGTACTTTTTTCCTTTAGCTTTATTTTCATAACGGATGTCCACAGTAGTGGAAGGGAATGGATGACAGTGAACCAAACTGCTCTTAAAGGATTAGGACTAGAAATCTGTTTTACCGGGAGATGTCTGGCAGGCAGGAGGTCAAGTCTTAGAAAGGGAGAAAAGATGGACGATGAGAGAATACTAGAGTCTCTGGAGTAATAGCTAATGTTGATTGAGTGTTAACTCTGAATAACCTAACAGTTACTAATTCTCAAGAACTCAAGAACCATTGCTAGGCTCTTCTATGTGCTTTACAAGAGAACACTGAGACACAGAGAGTAACCTAGTTTGTCTCGGTTACATGGTTAAGTGTTAGAGCCAGACTTTAAACCTAGGTTACTCTGGCTCCAGAATCCACATTCTCTATTAGGGTATTATATCCCTTTCAGGAAGGGGCCAAATCTAGGAGAGCAACAGGTTCTCAAGACTGAAACTACAAGTAAGGCTTGAAATCTTACGCTAAGTCAGAGTATTCTGTTCATGACCTTGTCACCTGCTGGCTTTTGCATATAATGCAGCTTGGGCACAACATTATTAGTGGTTGCCACATAATGTCAGAGGCTTGGGATGGGGGTTCTGCCCCTGCCTGAGAATGGAATTGGCATTGTAGGATTTCTCATATGAACTTTCATCAGAGATGTCCTTTGGCTGGTTAATTGAAAAGCAGCCACTGTAGATCCTCTCTCTCATTCAACCAAAGACTCTAAGAGTACCACAAACGTGTTAGGTTCTCAAGTTTAGCTTTGGCATTAGAAAAATACCAATGTCTTGCTCCCTTCTATCCTTTAATTCTAAATGCTAACCAACAGTTACTTCTGAGAATCTAGCATTGTGACTGCCTGTGGGGTCACAGGGCAAAGACTCCAAGTGATTATAGCTCCTTCCTCTGGGGAGATATCCCTGCTTAGCACGCTGAGAGGATTGCTGAAGACATGCTGATAGCAGCTCCTCCCTGCTTTTCTCTGCACCTCAGGTCTTCACACCCATGGCTCAGCAGCTTTGAACCACAAGGGATTTGGGGATCCTGCTGTGCTTAAAGGGAAGGGGGAATGGAGATGCAGAGAAAGCAGAAGAGGTGGCTCAGGCAATCTTAAGAGTTCTTACAAGATCAAAAAAAGTGAAATACATCAGAACTATGCCTAATGAAGTTTCAGACTTAGTTTTTGTGTATGTGTGATCTTACGTAATTCAAGAAAGGTTTAATGGCTTTCTCAATTCAGTTTTATCTATCACTGAACTTTATAAAGTGATAGTCTCAAAATGGATTATTTCTTTAGTTTATATCATATTGAACAGTTCTCAAGATGCTTCCAATTTCTTCCTCATAACAACTCTGTGGAGTGTGCACAGTGGTTGCTAATATTCTTAATTTATGAATAAGAAATTGACATTGAAAAGGTGAATTAAATTGCCCAGATTCACACAGAGTGACCAAACATCACAGTTTACCCAAGACTTAGGGGCTTCCTGGAACATGTGAATTTCAGCACTAAAACCAAGACAGTTGGTTTTCAGGGCTATAAACAAAAGCCAAGAAGCTAATTGAGACTTAAATCTGGGTTCTAAGTTCCAATGCTGTTTTTTTTTTTCCCCCTATGTTACATTTTATCTAGGTTGTACAAACAACCACCTCCAAAGAAAGTATATTTTTCTCTAAGTATCAGAAACACAAAAATCTTCTAGGTCTTTTAGCACATAAGAACTTTCTAGGCCATCAGGCCATCTCACATTCTCTTTTTAGCCATTTCACCATAAAATGTCATTATTACTCATGTAAATGTAAACTATATATCAAGAAATGAAAAAAAATCAACTAAAATTATTTTATTTTATTTATTTATTTTTAAAGATTTTATTTATTTATTTGACAGACAAGAGATCACAAGTAGGCAGAGAGGCAGGCAGAGAGAGAGGAAAAAGCAGGCTCCCCGTGGAGCAGAGAGCCCGATGCGAGGTTCGATCCCAAGACCCTGAGGCCATGACCTGAGCTGAAGGCACTGGCTTAACCCACTGAGCCACCCAGGCGCTCCTCAACTAAAATTATTTTAAATATCTGCGAGACATGATCCATCTGTAAAGGAGTAACTTGTTTTCCTTCCTGTTTTTACAGGGACAGTTGGCTCAGACACCAACACCACCTTTGGTAACTATCTCATTCATTTTTTTTCCCCATAAACATCTCATACAGTAAATTTACTTCAATACTCTTCTTATCACCTTAAGCCATTTGGCCAGCAGTAAATCCAAACTGCAAGCAATTTATATGTATCATATGTTTTTTTCCTTGGAAATTACTAAAAGGAAAATAAACAACTTTTTCTTTTCCTTTTAGGAGAGCAGTGAGTCATCAGAAGAAAGTAAAGTTAGCTCAGAGGAACAGGTAATTAAACAGACCTTTCCTAACTTTTCAGGCTGCTTAGGAATTGAAGGAAATGATGTAGATTAAATTACCTGCAACCATTCTAAATGTAATATTTTCTAACCATTAGTTATGCTAGCTAAATCATCCCATAAAGAAGAGAAAAATGAGTGGGAGAATTCAGATGTGGACATGATGTTCATTCTGTATTTATCACTGGGGCCAGACTGTAGACACTGTGGCCCCAGATGTCCTCTAATTAAAAAGAACACACACACACACACACACACACACACACACACACATGCACGCACAAATGGTCCTAAACTATGTTAGACAAGTAATAGCTCATTATCACTTTAAAATGTTGCTTTTACAATTGGAGCAGTTCAGATCAGGCAGAGAAAGCTTTCTGGCTAACATCAAGTACCTGCTGGGCCTAGACATCTCCTCCGTGTCAAGGATCTTATTGGAGGAGAGAACAGGAAGGCCCTGAAGAAACTTTACTGAAACAGCTTCTTTGGTAATGATTTGTCTTTAAAACAGTCTCAGTGGTGACCCTGGTAATGAGAAAAGCTGACTTAGCCTGTAATTATAACCCTTTAAGAAAAAACTGGCTTTTTTTCCTCTTACGTGTGCACTTTTTTTTTTTTTTCTTCATTTTCTTAAGACTTAATGTCATTACTTTCTTGGTTGTCCTACCATTTGACCAAACTCAAACCTGTGGGGTTCCAGAGATTCCAGAAACCAGGTTTCTCCCTGAGGCTTTGATCCATGTTGTATTTTATACTCAAACAGTTGGAAGATGAATTATTAGTTTTTTACTACTATTAATAAAGGTAGTCTGAGGAACATTCTAGAAATTTATAAGCACATAATTGGGGATGTCTTCTGGAGATGTTATGATTTATTGCCTCAATATTCTCTGAACTCTCAAGAGTAATAGTATTTGTTTGAGAAGGGCGCAGTATGTACCTATTGAGGTATGGGGAGCTAAAAAGATGCTTAGTCCAGCATACCAGTGTGAACCCTAACAGTGGGAAGAGATGTCATCATTCTGTACTCCCAACTGCAAAATCAGACATTGATCAGTAAGGACAAGTGGAAAAATAAAAACAAAGTCAGCAAGAATGCTCTGCTATGGGATATGGTAAAGAGAGCAGATTTTTCCAAAGCATAATGAATGAAGGAAGACCCACTATCCTTCTTTATCTGTATAGAGCTTCCAATTGTTTGACTTATGGAGATAATTTCTCTGAGCTCACACTTAGAACTAAGACTCCCTGGCGGTCCCACTAGTTGCACTCTTCTAGCTAAGCCTTCTACAGGCAACCCTCTGCCTGTCTGAATGAAGTATAACTATAGTATGGGTGAGATGTATATCTTACCATAACATTTTACTTTCATTTTAGCTAAAGTTTCATTCTACTGCCCTAGTACATTCCCCCTGCTGCCCCCCACCCAGAGTTGGTTAGAAAAAAATTTGGGTCATTTTAAAATCACCCAATAATTTTGAAAAGTGTTTTAAGCCAAAAAATTTGATGAGTGTTTCAAACATCTCTTTAATGTATCAAAAACGAAAAATTCTCTGAGAATTTCTTCTAGGAATCAGACTTACAATAGGATTTAAGTTTCATGAATGTGATTTCTATAGAGCTTTTAAAGAAAGTTTCTGTAGCACTGAGTGAATTGTGCCTATATAAAATGGAATGACTTGAGTTTCAACTCCTCTTCTTTCCTCTTTAACCTTTAGTAGACATGTTATTGAGTAGTAAAACTGACCATGCTTTAGAAGGAGGGACAAAAGAAGAAAGTAGGAAGAGCCTAGGTAACACCCTCTATATCAGCTCCTGGAGTACTGACCATGTTTGTTAACCCCAAACTCCAGGAAAATGAAGACCCCAGTGACAGCGCTGAATCAGAAGAGGGCTTTGATGATCATCAATATACACATAGACCAGCTGGTGGCCTTTCTAGGAATGGAGGAAAAGAAGGAGCCGATGATGATGAAGATGATAGTGGTGATGACACTTTTGGTGATGATGACAATGGCCCCGGACCTGAAGAGAGACAAGGAGGAAACTCCAGACTCAAAAGTAATGAGGACTCAGCCGACACCACACAATCTAGGGAAGACAGTGCCCTGCAAGGGGAAGACAGTGGCCAAGATACCACCAGTGAGAGCAGAGACCTTGACAATGAGGATGAGGTGAACAGCAGGTCTGAGAGAGGTGACTCTGCTCGAGAGAGTGAGAGTGAGGAGCACTGGGTGGGAGGTGACAGTGAAGGGGATAGTAGCCATGGGGATGGCTCCGAGTTTGGTGATGAAGAAATGCAGAATGATGATCCAGACGTTATCAGGAGTGACAGAAGTAACTCCAGAATGAACAGTGCTAGTGTCAAATCAGAAGAATCAAAAGGAAACAGTGATGAGCAAGCAAGCACTCAGGATTCAGGTGATAGCCAATCAGTAGAATATTCTAGGAGGAAAATTTTCAGAAAGTCCCGCATTTCTGAGGAAGACGATATAGGTGAGTTTGATGATAGCAACACAATGGAAGAAATCCAGAGTGACTCAACAGAAAACACCAACTCTAAAGAAGCTGGTCTCAGTCAATCCAGGGAAAACAGCGAGAGTGAATCTCTAGAAGAGAGTGAGGAAAATCAGTCCCAAGAAGACAGTCAAGATGTACAAGACCCCAGTAGTGAGTCTAGTCAAGAGGATGATCTGCCATCTCAGGAAAACAGTAGTGAATCTCAGGAAGAAGTAGTGAGTGAGTCCAGGGGTGACAACCCAGATAATACCACCAGTCACTCAGAAGATCAGGAAGATAGTGATTCCAGTGAAGAGAACAGCTTGAATAAACCCTCCAGTTCAGAAAGTGAATCCACAGAGGAGCAAGCTGACAGTGAATCCAATGAAAGCCTCAAAGACTCAGAGGAAAGCCCAGAGTCCACTGAGGAGGAGAACAGTTCTAGCCAGGAGAGCCAGTCTCACAGTGCCTCAGCAGAAAGCCAGAGTGAAGAAAGCCAGTCTGAGCAAGACAGTCAGTCTGAGGAAGATGATGCCAGTGATTCTCAGGACAGCAGCAAATCAAAAGAAGACAGCAACTCTACTGAGAGCAAATCAAGCAGTGAGGAAGATGGCCAGTCAAAAAACACTGAGATAGAAAGCAGAAAATTAACGGTTGATACTTATCACAACAAACCCATTGGGGATCAAGATGACAATGACTGCCAAGACGGCTACTAGCGTCAACTCTCCAAGAAGTGGCTCTCACCTATAGGGGTCTTGGGAGTTGGAGAATAGGGAAATCATTATAACTATAATTTATTGATTTTTTTAATGAGAAGGACAACCAGAGGCCATTTCTTTCTGAAAGGAAATGTTGTAGGGTGTCACCTAAATGTTCTAGGGTGTCACCAACTTATAGGGTTTAAATACTCTCAGGTGACACCAGAACACACTCAATGAGACTGAAAGAAAGGAAAGATGTACATTATAGCTTCACAACTGAAATAGTTACTAACTCATTAACATAACAGTTACTGAGGTTCTATTATGTACCAGGCACTGTGCTGGGTGCTGGGATATAAAGAAGCTTAAGGCTTGTTTCTTGCTCCTGAGGAGCTTATAGAGGGATAAATAAACTTAAAAAAGCTAAACAGGGATACATATGGGAGAAACAAGAATTATTACAATGCAGTGTGGTAAGTGCTGTAAGAGGTATGAACAAAATATATGGAAGCACAGAAGATGGGACCAACTTTGCCTTGGAAAATCAGGGTAGGCTTCACAGCAGAAAAGACTAGTGCTGGAGCTCTGCCTAAGATTTCTTTGTTGAAGACAAGGGAATTCTATTTATTCTTGGGATAAACAATAGTGAATCCTATATGATTAAATATTTAGTTTTGAAAGCACTTTCAAATTACGGCACAGTGAGGTATTCTGGATAAAGGAAACATTGTTTTCAACTAATTTACCCTTTTTGATGCTTTTTGTGGAATTCCCATGAACACTGCCTCACCCACCACTGGTGATACGATATGGAAGACAGGATGGGGGAGAGTAGTAGAAAGAAATCCCTCTTTAAATAGATAACTTTTAGCTTTATTTTTTTTTAAATCAGTCTATGTGCAATGCTAGAAAAATTATTGAGTCCTTTACATATGTTGCACATAATGAAATTGTGTATATAGAATTCAATTGATTTTTGCCAAATATCCTTTGAAATGTTACCTCAACATAAAATATATTTTATAATAAAGATAATGATATCTAGAAGTAGTATGTGCTTATTTTTATAGTAATATTATTAGGGAATATCTGTATTAAATAACTCTTCCTTTAAAGCATTAAAGAATAATTTCCTTTCTTCCATTAAAATAAAAGATTTTCTTAAATTATTTCATGAAAATTTTATAATTTAGGTAGCATTTTGAAAAAATTATACATCATGATATTTTATCAAATATACCTGTTATATATAAGGAAAAAAGAAAATGAATAAGCTCTCAACATTGCTTAAGGCAATCTCAAAAGTTCATGGTGGTTGAGTTTAACATTAGTTCCTTCTGGTCTCTTAGACTGTCATTTGTATAAACTCTGGAATCTACAGGGAAACATATTCTTCACATTTTTAAATTCTTTGTAAGAAACTATTGTACCTTGGCACTTTTACTTTGTGTTTTTAGACACAATTCCATTAAAGTACATCAGAATTCCCCTTCAAATTTATTAAGAGAATCAGGAAGACTTTCATTCATTCATTCATTCATTCATTCATTTCATTTTTTTGAGAGAGTGTGCGTGTGTGTATGTGTGTATGTGTGAGATGGGGAAGGAGTAGAGGGAGAGAGAGAGAATCCCAAGCATGCCCCATGACCAGTGCAGACCCCATTGTAGGGCTCTGTATCACAAACCTGAGATCATGACCTGAACTGAAATCAAGAGTCAGACACTTAACCAACTGAGCCACCCAGGTGCCCCAATAAAGACTTTCTAACCTTCAGTCTGATCCTTCCCATCCTTCCCATAATTCCAGTCCATCAATATGTTAGAGCTGTTGTCACTTGGAGAATAAATGTATATTCTCTAATCCTACTCCTTGAGATTTTAATTTAGTAGGTCTAAAGTGAAACCCAGAATTCTCTACTTTTAGAAGGATCCCAGGAGATTCTGATGTAGCCCATCCATACACTTACATTTGCGTTCTTTGTCTCAATTGATTAATTACTGACTTTATTAACCTGTAAGTTCCTGCCAACCCACAGCTTCTTATAAGGAGAACTGTCCCATGTTTGGACCTCCTGATTGCCTGAGGCATAGTCGATCAGGTTCTAACCATTCAACTGCCCGGTCTCATCACAGGGGATTGTTCTGATGAGAATCTGAACCCAGGGGACTTGCCTATAGACTGGTCAGCAGCCTCAGATGAGACATGTTGCAAAGGCTCTGCCTGAACATAAATGACAGTGGCTTGAGGTCTAATATGAATTTCCCTCTGTGGATATTTGAATATTTATGAAGACAGATGTCAACAAGTAATCAAAACGAAAACAGAGAGCCAGAAATAGCCATTAGAGAGAGTCCGTTAATAGTGAAGCACAAAACTGAAAACTATTGAGCTCTCAATGTGAAGAGACAAAATCAGAATTCTCTTGCTCTCATGCTTGGATCTTGACTCTCCTATTGTCCTCTAGGCCTTCTTAGATCCCTTTAATGCTCCTTCCTTTTAAGTGCCACTTGTACCCTTACAATACATTCACCTTTCTTGAGATAAACTGAGTCAGTCTTTGTGACTTGAGGACAAAATGCCTAATCAACTCAGACTCATAACCTTAGGTATTAAGTTTAGCAGTGCTCCCAGGTCATATAATCCTTTTACCAAGTTAACTAACAGGACTTTTTGAAGGAAGAATAATGATAAGAATTGTATCTATGTTGGTGTTAGAAATCATCTTAGGCAGATGTGGGAGAGTTTTAAGTTCTCATCACTCATTTTATGTACTAGGTATGGACATTGGTCTATTTTATAATCAAAAGTATAAAAATATTATCCAAAGGAAAGCTGACTGGACAGGGGCGTTAGCTTTGAAGGTGTATAAATTTTCTCATGGAGTTCCTCACTGAAGTCTATAATGGAGGAGTCCACTTGAGTAGCCAAATCACAATCAGAAATCAATTTTTAGTTTATAATGGGGAGAATAAGAATTAAAGGCTATGAGATGAGCACAAATGAGAACACAAATGAGAGCTATGTGGCATGCATGCTTAATGGCACTGGGCTAAAATAAGATGATCTATCTATGGTGTTCCATGAAAAACGTTACAGTTGGGACTCAAATTCTAGAAAGCTGACTCTTTCCTGAAAAGTACTCCAAAGAGCCATCATCAAGTCTTGCCACAGTGACCCTGATTTTCTAAGATTACTAGGGTTAACCCACTCTTCTTTAAATGGCCCATTTTTTCTTTACATAAATTATTAGTACAGTCGAGTTGGTTTCTGTGGAGTCCTGTTGGCCTGGAGCCATTCTGTATTCTCCAGATGATTCTGTATATTTATGTAGATCTAAAAATTTAGTTTCTAAACTACAATCTTAATTTACTGCTCCTAATTCCTGATGTGATGTGGGCACTCTCTGTGACTCCAAAATAAATACAAATTGATGGTTTCTAATCTTTCCCATTTACCCACTGACTCATTCAAACATTTATGGAACACATCTTATGATCTATAGAATGATGAATGAGACCTGATTTCTGCCTTTAAAAAGCTCATAATCTATGGCAGAGACAAAAGTATATGCATGGTGATAGACGGTTAGAGCACTTATAGGGCTCTCATTAAATTTCCATGGGTGTACATGGAAGGGAGTGCTTAACCTGTTTGGAGAGCTAAAGAGGTAATAGGACATCTAATGTAAACCTTGGGAAGTGAATAAAAAACAGGCAAGAAGCAACTCCGAGAGTAGGGAACAGAGAAGTAAATGTACAAAATTATTTATGGCATGTTAATGTATGATAAAAAAAAATCTGGTGGTACCAAAGCACTGGGAAGACAGGAAGAGAAAGAAGAAGTGATACGTGAAGGTTTCTGAATGCCAGATTAAGAACAGCCTTCACTGTTAATGAGTACCTTTCTGGCGCCAGGTTTTCATATATGATATACATATCATAAACACCTTTTGTCATAGGTATTATAAATTCTCTACCCCCTTTAAAAACATATAACAAATAAAGATTAGCAAATGAAACACAGAAAAGCTAAGTTAAGCACCCTACTCATAATCCAAGAATTAGCACAGTCTGATTCCATTTCTGTTCAATGATAGGCCACTGAAAATTTGGTAACTTTCAAATGTGCACTACAATACTACTGACTAGTCACCTTGCAATTTATTACATCACAGGATTTATTTGTTTTAAAACTAAAAGTCTGTATCTCTTGACCCCCTTCACCTATTTTGCCCACTCCACAAATCCACCCCACTCTGGTAACCACCATTCTATTCTCTGTATCTATGCATTTTGTTTTATTTTGTTTGGAGTCCACATATAGGTAGAATCATATAGTATTTGTCTTGCCCTTCCTGACTTACTTCATTTAACTTAATCCTCTAAGTCCATCTATGTTGTTGTAAATGGCAAGATTTCATTCTTTTCTTTATGTCTAAACAGTATTCTATTATATATATACACACACCTTATCTTCTTAATCCATGAATCCATTGATGGAGACTTGTTTCAAAACCATAGCTAATATCAATAATGCTGTGATGAGCATAGGGATGCATATATCTTTTTGTGTTAGTGTTTTAATTTTCTTCAAATAAATAACCAGAAGTGGAATTTCTGGATGATATGGCAGTTATATTTTTAATTTTTTGAAGAAACTCTATACTGTTTTCCATAGTGGCTATACTAACTCACATTTCCACAGTGTATGATGGTTGCCTTTTCCTATATCCTTGTTGACACTTGTAATATCTTATCTTATTGATAACAGCCATTCTAAATGATATGAGATGATATCTCACTGTGGTTTTGATTTGCATCTTCATGTGACTGCTGGCCATATGTATGTCTTCCTTGGCAAGAGTATCTGTTCAGATCCTCTGCCCATTAATCAAATTATTTGTTTGCTATTGAGTTGAAGGGTTCTTTATGTATTTTAGATATTAACCCTTACTAAATATATCACTTGGAAATATTTTCTCCCATTAAGTTGCCTTTTCATTTTCTTGTTGGTT